TCCTTCCATTTTGGCTCCTCTCCAAGGACAAATAAGGGGTTGGATGGGGTTTGGATAGGGGGTCGGATTGGGGTTTGGATACGATTTCCTTCCGTTTTGGCTCCTCTCCAGGGTTGGATAGGGGTTTTGGATAGGGGGTTGGATAGGGGGTTGGATAGGGGATTGGATACGATTTCTACGATTTTGGCTCCTCTCCGCGGACAGCTAGGGGGTGGGGTGGTGGTTTGGATAGGGGGTCGGATAAGGGGTTTGGATTCGATTTCTACGATTTTGGCTCCTCTCCAAGGAAAAATAGGGGGTCGGATAGGGGTTTGGATGGGTTGGATAGGGGTTGGAATACGATTTCTACGATTTTGGCTCCTTTCCAGGAAAAATACGGGGTCGGATAGGGGTTTGGATAAGGGTTTGGATAGGGGGTTGGATAGGGGTTTGGATACGATGTCCTTCCATTGTGCCTCCTCTCCAAGGAAAAATAAAGGGTTGGGTAGGGGTTTGGATACGAGTTCCTGTCATTTTGGCTCCTCTCCAAGGAAAAATAGAGGGTTGGATAGGGTTTGGATACGATCTGGGTACGATTTCGTTCCAAATCCTATCCAAACCCCTATCCAACCCCCTAAACAAACCCCTATAACCCAAATGCAGAGCGGAAGTGGTGCAATTGGATTGAAGAGTATCCGAGGCGTTGGCAAGTGGAAGCTGCTTGGCTGCCGCGCAAGCTAGCAATTGTGAAGTGCTGTTGGCTCGGTACAATCTCCGAGCATCACGGAGCATAGCCTATCAACTCCATCTTGACACTGTTTCTCCCCTCCAGTCAAAGACACAGACTTCGCCGCGAACATTCGCCAGAACGTCTCATCTGATCCAGTCTCTTTCCCTGCACGCATGTTGTTCCCGATGATTTTTGCGTCCGGCCATTCGTTTCTTGACATCATCTGCGGAGAAAACGGAAATTGGTTCTTGAAGCCTCCAAAAAATCCAGCGCAAAACCTTTTCACCGGAACTGGCATAACAGCTGCTTTCTACCCCAAAACACAAAATAGCAAAACCTAGATCTGAAGTAAGTAAGTGGATTAGGGGTTCTAAACTTTCCAAATTGAAGTTTGCCATACTTACAGAGAAATTCGAACCCTTGACGCACCTTCAATCCACTAAATTGTGTTCTGGCAAGCTATTGGTAATTGCATTTTTGAGTGTGTCTCTCTGTTTCACAGTACATCGCACAAGGAGGGAAGAAGAGGAGGAGGTGCTGTGTGGGTTGCCATTTTGTTTGGAGGTGTGAGGTAAAAGGCGGAGATGCTGTAACAGTGTGGGTTGCCATTTTGTTTTCGAGAGCGAGTGCATCCAACCTGCCTGCCTGTTCTACCCGCCAAGAAAGCTGTCAAGGACACCAAGAAGCCCTGCTCTCGCAGCATCTTGCGTGAATCGCACTGTTTCCACAGTTCCAAGCCCGTGTGATGGCGAAATCTGGCAACCTCAACCTGAGATCCATGTAAGGTTGCAGAGAACCTGAACCTAAGGTTGGGTTGTTGGCCCCCTTCCTTCCGGGGACCGATGTTGCGACAATGTCAGCCCATGTCACACCTCCAACCTTCTTTGCGCGAAGAACGAGCCCAAACATCGCAATTCGTGGGGTTGGCAAGCCTGAGCCCAAACGATGCTGCACGCGCCAAACTACCCAACTGGTTGACCTTCTGGGTTATAACCAGTTTGGAAGTTTGACAACCATTTATGTCCGAAACCATGAAGTTTTCTGACGCTTTCCCAGCTATTTGGGTCTTCGCCAGTCTAATTTGTTATTTTAAATTTGTCTACGTGATTTCCGTCACGGATATGCGGAAGGTAGGAAGACATGTAGGTAGTATTGTTGGTATCAGGGAGGTATCAAACGTAGTCATTTGGTGGGTTTCAGGGAGGTTCATGGTGTGCAGCGGATCTGGTAGGTGTAGAGTAGGCGCAAAGTAGGCATGAGGTAGGCATTCGGCAACGAGAACATGGTGGGAGTTTTGCCTCAGCAGCCCAGCGAATCGCTAGCTCACTAGCAGTGCATGTTCATGACATAGTACATAGAACCTCGCAGCTGCCAACATGGCGCGTCAGGATCCACTTACCAAAACCAATTTTCAACTGTATTTAGCTTTCACACTTCTCCCCGTCGCAGCAGAACAGTCGCAGAGTGCTCAAAGTCCCTGCATTCTGAATTGTAACGCTTGATTTGCTGCTTGGATCCAGTTGCGGCTTTTGTTTGAAGTTTGTTGCTGCATGCTTGGCTTTTGAGGATATAGATGTAGTTCGAAATGCGTGAAATGTTACACCAGTGCCTGCATGCCCGTATCCCAGAATGCCTTCGATTGCCTTCGAGTGATTTGGGGCTACAGTGCTCTTTGAGGCTTGACGTGTGCAGAAATCTGATCTGCAGCATTCGTTGCAATCAGGTCTAGCCTTATCCATGGCAAGAACGGTGGATGATTTCAAGGCTCGTGGAATGAAGTGCAGAATTTGCATATCTTAGTGCCAGCTTCTGGCGTGCACGCATTGTGAGGCACCCCAGCAAACGTGGGGCTGGGGACTTATCTTATTTGCAAGGATTACCCGCATGGCAACCGGAAGTTGTGTAAGTTTGGGTTGATGAAGGGTTCAACTGGTTGAGTATGAGGTCATGGTTGTAGGCAGCGCTGCTGTCTCAAATTAGGGGCCGTAATTGAAGTGCTTTCGTAAAAAGTTGCGATTGAATCTGTAACCGGCGCCTTGTGCCGAACTGCTTTGCAGACTCAAGTACAGGGAAAGGACCACGGCCGTCGTGCAAGCCCAGCTTGCAACTCAATGCTGCATCTTTGCATTGTCTAAGGTGACCAGATTCGGTCCTATGAGCAAGAGAAGAGACATGAAGAAGCCTCAGGAGATTTGCTGCCGAAGGGGTCCAGTTGGTAATGTAGTCTTACAAGGTGTTGGATGTTAAGATGCACCACCCAGGAAGCCCAAGAACGAGACACCGTTTGCAAAGTTAACGTCTTGGCTTGAGCCTTTTGCGGGCCGAATTCACACCCCTGGGCTTCGGAATCCAGGGACCGCAAGGCAGCAGAGTATGCCTGACCACTGAGGCAGTGGACTCGGGGTTAGTAAGCGGACCGCCGGACGCCGAGATGCAGAAGGTGCTAGGTGTTGGATGCATGATGTCTGCCCCATCTCACCAAGTTGTTTTCGGACGTTAACGGGGTAACCGATGAACGGATGTGGTCCCGCAGCCGCCTTCCTGCAGAATGTGGCAGCGCCGGCAGCGAGCGACAGTCAACGAACGGAAGGAGTGGTTCCATCAACAAAACCTTCAGCTGTGCTCCCACCTTCGTTTCAGAAAACCGAGAGAACGTCTAGCCATGTTTTAGGTTTCCCGTCATCCAAGCGAGCTGGCCCTAAGAGCGGCCATGCAAATGCCCAGGCCGCTTCGGCTTCAGCCTGGAATGTTCCAGGCGCAGGCTGATCGGCTGAGCATGTGCGCGGCAGCCCCAGCCCATCACCTGCTCTAGCTCTCAGGAGCGGATGTTCGATCCGCTGCTCGGCAGGCCGCGTTGGGGCGTTCTTTGGAGTCTTTCTATGAACCTGACATGAGGGGAAGCCGGGCAAGCTGTCAGGATTGCTTGCAAGCGGCAAGTCTCGCATGTCATATGGTGTCAATGTCAGCTTTGAGCTCACGTTCTAAGCAACCGGCAAGATCTGAAATATTGAGGTCCAATCAGGACGGGCATCGGAGTCTGTTGAATGCGTTCCTTGAGCCGTGTCCTAGTCTATTGCCAGATACCGGGACAACTCCACGGAGGACAGGGCGAGCAGATGGGGTGGCTTCGGATTATGTGGCGTCGTGCAGAGGGCCGAAGCCCGGCATGCTCATTCGAACCATGGCGTGTCCATGCGTTTGTGCGTGTGCAAACCAATTGGGGTCAGTGCCAGAGAGCAGAAGCAGGCTGCCTTGTATGTTGTATTGTTGTATGCTCGTCGGCGCTGAGTATTCAGTTTCCTGTGCAAGAGTTCTGGAACGCCAGGCAAGCCAGCGGCATATGGAAGAGCGTGAGAGGGTGGCGCACCTGAATCGCGCAAAGGCCGCGCAAGAAGCTGTCTCAGGGTTCGGTGTCTCAGGGCTTCGGAAGGCCACCACCTGACTCGTGGTTACGGGAGCTGGACGTCTTCTTTCTGGTGTTTTGCTATGTTTTTCGTGTGTTTCCCTTGGCCCCTCGGTTTCGCCGTGCCCGTCGGTTTTCTGCCTGGCAAGGACATCCAGATCTTGCGCGAGCAGCCTTTTGACATCCTCAACCAGGCCAGGCTCTCGGGTAGATGCTCGGTTTGAGAGTGCTACGCCGAAGCCAGGACACGGTCGAACGAGTTCGGGGGACCTGTCATGACGCGTCCGGAAGTCTTGGGAGCTTTTTTTTTTCTCGATTGAGTGCTCAACCAGGGAAGGGATCTTCTGAGGGCATGTTTGGTGTCTGCAGGAAGCATGCCCAGTTGAGGGTACCCACAGCTCCACCAAAGTCCAAATCCAGGAGTCAAAGTTAGAGAAGCTGGCTCCAGGCCGGGGATGTTGCTGAGTTGGCACTAATCTTCCCAGGGCAGGCAGAGGGCCTATGAAGTCTGGAGGGTGAAGGCCGGCCAGGGCTTTTCGTAGCTTTCAGAGGGCCTAGTGATGCGAGAGCACAAAGTCTTCTGCAACGGTTGGTGGGTGGCACAGTTGCAGCCTCAATCACGGAACTGTGTAGCCAATTTGTCGAGCTGGATCAGTCTTCTCACTTGCTCCTCAAACCCGTTTGCTTCATCTCTAGGTGCTTTGATAGATCATAGTAACTTCTGCTGCTGCTGCTGCTACTCCTGCTACTGCTGCTGCTGATACCCCCAACTAGTAGTAGTGGTAGTGGTAGTGGTAGTGGTAGTAGTAGTAGTAGTAGTAGTAGTAGTAGAAGTAGAAGTTGTAGTAGTAGAAGTGGTAGTAGTAGTAGTAGCAGCAGCAGCAGCAGTAGTAGTAGCAGCAGTAGTA